GCCATCCTATTTGTACACTTTTTGACATGATGGCCCCTCGGACAAGGTAAGATGGACATTTATATTTTTATCTCAGTTTGTAGACTTCACTGTGGGCAGTTTAGTGTTGGCTGGCTTTAGAGCCAGCACAAATCATTCACTGATGTGGATGTCCTGGTGAGAGAACTTCACGGGCACTTACTCAATAGATGCAATTGCCTTGCATTGAGCATTGAGATTCTCAGTTGCCTCTTGTCAGTTCCAGGAGTATTTGTGGAATAATTTCGGTTCTCGAGTCGTTCTGTAAAATAATTTCCTCAAACTTAAAAACCAGAAATGTATTGATTGGATACAATCCCACAGTATAGTTTTGCTTTCCCAGTCAGATGGACATGATTTGTGGTGACTTTCAGTGCAAGAATGTGTGATGTTAAATTTGAAATTTGTTTTCTGCAATAAACACTTGCCATTTGCTGTTCTGTGGCTACTGCTGCCAGGTAACTTGTGCCTTGCAGTATTTCCTAGCACTCAGCCCAGCAAGAGGCAGGAACATAAAGAGAATGTGAAACTGAAATTTGCAGCTCTAGCTGCACCTGTGCCAGTTCTGCTGCTGTTGTTATGTAGCTGTGTTACTGAAGGTAAACATGAGCTGGGATGTGTATCTGACTAAGGTTAAATTGGAGCTCACTCAGGTCTTCTGCTTGAATTAGGATGAGGGTTTGCATTTGGATGTGGTGGCAATACAATCGTGTGAGGTTTCTTGTGCCTGTGGGGTTCCTGCACACAGGAATGTGTCATAGGTTTGGCCAAGATTTCTGTTGCCTTGGGCTCAAGTACTGAAAAATAAAACAAGCCATCAAGGCTGAAACTGACCCTTGGGCCTCACGTGAGCATGATGTGAGAGGCTCCTCCTGCCAAGCCCCTGTGAGGGTGTTGGGCTGCCTCCCTAGGGCCTCCTGGGGGATAAAACTGCCCTGCTGGGTACTGCTGTCTGTCGTGTCCTTAGTCCCTGCTCAGCCAGGCAGGTGCAAGCCTTGCAGACAGCCACGGTTATGTGTCGGTCGTGTGTTTTGCTCCTCCTTGACTCTCCCATTCATCTCTGTCTGGGACAGGCATTGCTGCTGATGGAGACCACAGACCTTGGCAGGGATTAAATCTCAGCCACCTGGAAACACCTAAGAGGAGGACTGGAGATCCCAAGGTTGCACTGCAAACATGAACCTTAAACAAAAGTGCCTGAAGATCAGTTCAGTCTATTTGCTCCCAGGCTGTGGCTGGCCTCTGCAATCTACCAAGGAAAAGCCAGGGTTTCTGCAATTCAGCCTCCTTCTCCTCTTTGTATAAAATAGCAGTTGCCTTAATTTGTTCTCACCAAAGCCATCAACTGTCCTGTCATGCCAGGGATGAGGGATTTATTTGTAGCTGTAGGAAAATGAGTGAGAAGGTCTCATCCATGCACACTGATGTGTTTCGTAACTCCCTTGGGTGACTCGGTGTCAGAGATTTCCCAAAGAATATCATGCGTGGCATGGAGATGAAGCAATACCCAGCAACCAGAATGACTCATGAGAGCCACGCCGTGGCTAGGGGTGGACAACATCACCCTCCATGCTTGGAAGTCATCCAAAGGGACAAACAAAAAGTCTTTTCCTCACCACCTGGAGTCATTTTCCACAGACGGAGGACTGAGAGGGGAGCAAGTTGAAACTGGGATTGTCGAAGTGTAACCAGAGTCCTGCCCACGCCTGATGGGGCTGTGGGGTAGGGTGTGAGGGACTGGCTGGTCTGAGGCTGTTCAGGTGTGCAGGGGATGCTGCGGGTGGAAATGGTGCCCATTTTGGGACCAGATGCCATCCAGCCACTGTCATGCCACCAGCAATGCTCTGCATGGAAGCATCTTGCAGTGGGAGACTACCCGCTGTAACGGGAAAGGAAACAGATGTGTCTGATGGGGCTGTGGGGTAGGGTGTGAGGGACTGGCTGGTCTGAGGCTGTTCAGGTGTGCAGGGGATGCTGCGGGTGGAAATGGTGCCCATTTTGGGACCAGATGCCATCCAGCCACTGTCATGCCACCAGCAATGCTCTGCATGGAAGCATCTTGCAGTGGGAGACTACCCGCTGTAACGGGAAAGGAAACAGATGTGTTGAATTTATCCCCTTACTCCACCATCCCCCCCCCCTTCTTCTGAAGTGATCTGCAAATTGAATGGTGTACTCTGTTTTCTATTACAAAATTATAAATGTATTGAATAGTACTGAAGTAAAGAAAAGTACATATGTGAACACACTTGACTTTTTTTCTTGTTCTACTGTGAGCAATGAATAACAGCTGAGTACAGTTTTCGAACCCTTTATACACTCACCTTGTAGCAGATTTTTCTTCACTGTAATTTTGTAGGTCATTAAAGAAAACAGCACTATCTGAAATACCTAATATTTTTAACATACTAATGAAATTGAGTACCCTGTTGAAAGAAATTTGTTTGTTGTGGCATGATTTAATGACTGATAATAAACACCTTTTGATTTTCCACATCTTTGTACTAACATATTTTTCATCAACTGGAGCTTGATAACTGTGGCCTTTTTCTGTCTTTAAAAAATATAATTGTGTTTGTCCTTTTCTAATCTTCTGGAAGATCATTTATTCTCTTTGTGTTCTCGCAGATAATGCTAACATGAGATTTTTGCAACCATTTTTCTAAGTACTCTGCAGCAAGTTTCATCAACCTTTCGAAATTTCATCTGACTTTACGTAACTAACTTTTTTTCCTTATTCTGTGTCGGTGTTGGGTCCATTCATGCATAACTTCCTTAATTTTTAAATGTATCATAAAGTACATAGGACACTTATGTTGATCAGAACACAAATGCAGAATTCAACATTTGATTGAATATGCTGAAAAACAAAACCTATTATTTACATGCAACTCCAGGTCTTTTTCTAATTCCTCCCCCCCCCCCCCCCTTTTTTTTTTTCTTCTTTTCTGTGAAAATGGTGTGTTAGGATGAAAAGGAGGTTCTTACTGAGAAATACCCCTGTACGCCCATGGGTTCCTGCCCCTTGGCATGCTGGGCTACGGGGGGTCTCCTGGGCTCCCTCCCTGCAACAGAGACTTTCCAGCCAGAGGGTTCAGGGTGGCTGTCATGGGAGAAGTTATGTTATTCCCAAAAGGAAAAAGGTGCAGAGAGCTAAGTGACTCAAGTGCATTGGAGTGTTAGGCTCAAAAATACACAGTAGCCAGTCTTTGAGCAGTGGTAGAATACAGAGGGGCAATTCTAGCTGTTGTTCTTGTGTGTGAGGTTTAGTGGCTTGGGTGATTTGCACCAAATATTCCCAAAGCTGAAACTGAGAGTGACCTTTGGAAGGAGATGTTTCCATCATGATCTGCTCTGATCCTTAGCAGTGTGAGCTTAGAAAGTTGGCACAGATGAAGTTACAGTTTAGTGTGAGGCTGAGTGCTTGGACATGTTTCTTCCTTCTTTTGAGAGCAATATGTATTTTCTGTCCCTTTTTCAGATACCAGAATTGTTATTTATAGTCGGTTGTGCACCTCTGTGTATTCTGAAGTCCCACAGCACAGGACTGGGTGGGAAAACCTGAGGGACTGGAAAGAATGTGGACATTATGGTTAAGGAGAAAAACAGATGCCCAGTCTGCTCCAAAGGTCAATCTGAAAGGATTTCAGAAACAGGGTGGCAGACAGGCAGGGGTTTACACTGACTGGAGACACAGGGCAAAACCTGCCTAATTTACCTGCTCTAATTATGGCACAACAGAGTGAGAATAATGAAGTACTTTTCTTTGTGAACCAAGTTTATTTTTTAACCTTATTCAGCTCAGGAATGTTGCCACAGTAGCAAATATGTGGTGTTAACTGTGGGAGAAGTGAATGTGATCCCTTCCTAAAAGCCATGTGGCTGTACCAGTCCTGAGAAAGCTGTGCAGCATCATCTACACTTCCACAGAGCATAGTTTAGTTGCAATTTGCTTCTTTTCTTTTCTTTTCTTTTTCTTTTCTTTTCTTTTCTTTTCTTTTCTTTTCTTTTCTTTTCTTTTCTTTTCTTTTCTTTCTTTTCTTTTCTTTTCTTTTCTTTTCTTTTCTTTTCTTTTCTTTTCTTTTCTTTTCTTTTCTTTTCTTTTCTTTTCTTTTCTTTTCTTTTCTTTTCTTTTCTTTTCTTTTCTTTTCTTTTCTTTTCTTTTCTTTTCTTTTCTTTTCTTTTCTTTTCTTTTCTTTTCTTTTCTTTTCTTTTCTTTTCTTTTCTTTTCTTTTCTTTTCTTTTCTTTTCTTTTCTTTTCTTTCTTTCTTTTCTTTTCTTTTCTCTTTTCTTTTCTCTTCTCTTCTCTTCTCTTCTCTTCTCTTCTCTTCTCTTCTCTTCTCTTCTCTTCTCTTCTCTTCTCTTCTCTTCTCTTCTCTTCTTTTTTCTTTTCTTTTCTTTTCTCTTCTTTTCTCTTCTCTTCTTTTCTCTTCTTTTCTTTTCTCTTCTTTTCTTTTCTCTTCTCTTCTCTTTCTCTTTCTCTTTCTCTTCTCTTCTTTTTTTTTTTTCCTTTTCTTAAGTATAAATGTATTGCAAACCCCAGGCTCTGCTGCCTTTGATAATATATCTCTCTTTGCTGGCACTCACTTGCCAGCTCTGCAGTTCTGATATCCCAGCTGCTTTTATTAACCACAGAGACAATTTCCATTGAGAGACCTGAGGGGCTTTTATTTACCACTAAGCACAAAAATGGAGCTTTTTTTCAACAGCACTAAGATAACCTGCCCCCTCCCTCCCCCAATTTTTTATGCATGTGATGTGCACTCAGTTATGTGCTTTTCTCCTAGTAACCTTCTGAGAAAAGTAGGTAGATTTGCTTTTATGTGACACATAAATATATCCATATTGCACTGCGATATGGATATATCTACATATATATATATAGCCCCTTAGGGATTTCATTTCCTTAGATGCAAAATAACAGATTTACCTCAAACTGCATGCTTTCAAAACTGACTAGGATATTGTGTTGTACTTTTCAGGTCTTACAAAGATGCAGATACATTTCACTCTTCACACAAAAATACCTACATCACAGATTTTGCAAGCTGTTTACTACAATCTCTGTACTACTGTCCGGAGTTTTCTGTCGGTTGTTCTGCTGGATTACGTGCAATAATAAACAGTTATCTGCTCACTGTATCCATGTGGGTCTTTGCAGGGCAATCTCCAGGTTTGTTTCCAGGCTTAAAGTAGAGTTCAACACATAGTGCAGAATTTGATAGGTGGCATCTGGATGGTTTTTAGCTTTTTCCTCAAGATCTATTTCAAAGTCTTTCTTTCTTTTTGTTGCTGGAGGGTACTCTGCAAAGAGAATTGCTTTAAATTATGCTTTTTGGAAGTTTGGTGCCAGATGTTTGAGGGCACCTCCAGCTCTCTGAGCAAGCATTGTGCTACCATCATGCTGTTCTCTGCCAGAGGTTGCACAGGGCAGGAGGAAAGGTGGCTCACTGGCCCCACACCTGCCCAGGCAGTGCAAGTGACCCCTGAACAGGTCCCTCCACTGCCTCCAGAGCAGGGGCTGCTGCCAAGTTTTTTCCAAGCTATGTGTTGCTCTCTGCTCCCCTAGTGCCACCATTCTCCTGGGTTTGGAGAGGAGTGATTCTCCTCTGCTCATGGCTGTTCTCTCATTCAGCCTCTTGAAACGGCCAAAGTGAGAGGAAAGCCAAGGGTGAGGGACAGGAAAAGGGCAGCTGGGGAATTGTGTGTTTTGGGGGAGGGTGGGAGAGCAGAGCACAGTGACAGCCAGGGGCAGTGGGGGTCCAGGGCCCAAGGAATCCAGAGTAGCCAAAATCTTCAATCCCTTTTCTATTTCTGGAGTGTCTCACATGAGCAAAGCCAGGCTGTGCAGAGGGGCTGGGGGGACCCAGGCTCAGCCTCCACAGGCAGCAGGGGCTGTCCCAGCTTCTGCAGGACACAAGAGGTCTCATGATGGAAGATTTCATGCTCTGCTGACAACTCATGGAGCTGAGTTTGGTGACATGATGGCTTTACTCTCCTCTGGGCTTGTTTTGCTTCTGGTATGGGAGGAACCAGCAGCTTCTCATTCATCCAGTCTCTGGGAGGCAGCAGGGGGCAGAGGGGTAACCAGAGCCCTTTGCACCTCATAAATCTCAGGCTGATGAATGGAGCAGATCTTTGGCTCATGTGTGGCAGAGGCAGCAGTGAGGGAGGTGGGTCAGCTGCTAAAGCAATGACGTGTTGCTTCAAAAATATGAACAAAGAACAAAAAGCCTGCCCCTTCCCCAGGATAGGGGGAACAACCCTGGGCCTCTGCTTTGGGAGCTGCTGGTTTCAAGGGACATGTCCCCCACAGTGCCCCTGGGTGAGTGTCCTGAGTGCAGATGGGGGGGTGAGAAGCAGGATAAAGGCACTGGCCTGATCCTGTGACTGAAGGGCAGCAGCCTCAGCCTCCACTGGTGGGAGGGAAGGTGCAACCTGAGCCCTGGTGTCCTTTAAGAGTGACCTGCCCAGGCGTCCCAGGGATGGCTGTGCTGCCTTTCACCATCCTTGTGGGACATCAAGGGTTTTGGGAGCAACCCCCTCTCTTGGCCTTTGTGTCAGTGTGAAAGGAAAGGCCAGAGCTGGGGTGAAAGTAGCCCTGGCAGTGATTAGGTGCTGGGAAGAACAGAGAGGTTGCTATGCTCCTTTGAGACACTCCAGAAATAAAAAAAGGGATTGAAGATTTTGGCTACTTTGGTTTCCTCAGGTTCCCGAGGACTGGGAAGCACAGAGGGGTTACTGTGCTCCTTTGTGGCCCAGGACAGAGGCACAAGGCTGGCTCCACACCACCGCCTGCACTCCTGGACTCTTCCTGGAGGAAGCCAGAGCAATTCTTGGGATGCATGAGGGAATAGCCACTGTTTTCAACTCCAGTGAAACATTTTCCCATGCCCTGGCTTAGCCCCCAGCCTCAGCTCTGAAAGCTCTGGCTTTCCCCTTCTGCCTGGGGAAAGGGCTGAGTTAGGGCAGAGCCAATGCCAGAGGTGCCCTCTCATTGGGGTCTCACTCAATCCTCTCCCACCAGCCCTTCCCCAAGCTGCTGCCTTCTCTGTCCCCCTCTCTGCACTGCTCACAAACTCGTTCACCTCCCAGGGATGTGAGGCAGTGCCAGGTCCCCCCTCTCCTGCCAGGGAACATGTTTGCTGTGTAATCGAAGAAAGCAGATGGCATTTTACCAGGTCAACAAGCACTGGAAGGGCTTTAATTAAGAAACTAACAGGTTAGGTCAAATTGAGGAAATGCTTCAATGTAGTAAAATTATTTAGGAGTAATAGAGTCTCTATTTGGTAGCATATTTATAAACTTGCAGCCTACACTCATGCTGTTGAGACTAAATAAATTTCAAGGGTAAAATACAGCTTCAGACTTTGAGTGAGCAGCTGTTGCAAGGTACAAGGTAATTCAGGCTCAAGCTTGAAGTGGGCTCTTCGATTTCTTGTGAGCAATTAATGGTTTTATTCAGACACTGGATATCCAGAGGAAGTTACAGGGATGAGTTATTTCTTTTAATTCCTCTCTGCTGGCAATTTTTTTTTCCTGACAGCATGCAGCTGCCTGTCCTCTCAACCAGCATCTCCTTAGCAAGCTGAGTGCTGACCTCCTGCCTCCACTTCCACTTAAAACACTCTCAAATCCTCCTAATGTGTCAGAACACATGCCTGGAGAAGGAGCAGGAACTCATTCCTCATCTACACAGTTTAATGCTCTGGTGCGTTTGCTGGAGATCTCGTGGTATTGGGGGGATTTATCTGCCAATTACTCCTCAAGAAATAACAAAGGGTCATGCAGTACTTGGCAAATAAGGGTAGAAGGTGGAGAAGAGAGCTGGGCTTTAATTGAATCCAAAGTATGTTGAACAAAAAATTTCAGAACCATTAATTAGCTGTTGGTCTGGAGCTTAAATTTAATTAAGAGAATAGCGCTTTTAGGGTATCTCTGTCTCTGTCTGGAGGAAAGAAGCATAAAGTGGAGCAGTATGGAAATATGATGGGGAGGTGGAAAAGATCCTGCTGGAGATGCTTCAGAATTGAGCTACTCATGTGAGCTCTTAGTTCCTGTCAGCTTCAACCCAGCCCGTGTAAGAGCTGACACACCCAGACCTCAGCCTTGGGTGTCACCGTGTCTAGGAGAACAGCAACTGGCTCAGGTCCCCCTTCCTCCCCCTACACCTTACCTGTGTGTTACTTCAAGGCATCCTGGTCCTCACTGCTCTGGTTTATCTGCAGATGCTTCTACCAACAGTGTGTTCTGAGCTGCTAAGGGGGAAATATTCTGTACTAGAGAAAGGATTGTTACAAGCAAACTGTTTCATTTCCTAGTTTCTTTTGCTAAGTGGAACAATTTTCTTGCATTGTAACACAAACACTTCCATTTTCTTTAACAAGCAAATCCTAAACCTCCATGAATAACTTCCTCAACAACCATAAAGAGGAACTTTGTTCCTAAATTCCCACTATACACAGAACAGCACAAAAACGGCACAAATCCTTAAATTCCAAACACCCACTGTTTCAAAGAATTGCAAAAAACAATATTATCTTTCCACATCTTTCAGTTATTTTGGGGAAAAAAATAGATAGTTTAATAACTCACAATATAATAATCATACATGAAGAGCCACCCTACACCAAAATGAAATCGATCCCAGACAGTTTCCAACACATCAGTGGGAAGTGAGATCTGTTCTGACTCACCCAGGGAAGTGATTTCCCATAGACACAGAACAGTTTCTTAATATCTTGTGGTCTTGAACAGTTACTTAACATCTTGTGATCTCAAAAAATAACACACTGATTTTCTCCAAAGGGGATGCAAAATTCTAAGCTAATTTAACACTCTGGTTAGGCTAAAAATGATGTTGAAGAGTGAGGCTGAATTAGCTGTTCAAAGAATATTTTCCAGTTGCTGCAGGGTTACTGGTGGCTGACCCTTGTATTATTTGGCAAGAGCCTCAGTGTTTGGCTCATGTATAATCTTTTACATTTTACTCCTAGTCCTGATAGTCTCTTACAAGTCTGGGGCAAGTGTCCTTGGCCTGGGGTCTTGGACACCTCAGATTATGAATATCCACTTTGCTCATGAGATGATAGCAGCCATGTGTATTGTTAATGTCCTACAGTCAGTGTGTTACTTGTCCACTTGATGGACTTTCACAAATTACCCTCAAGAAATAAGAGCATTGCTTCACCTGCCACTGAAATGCAGCTAAAGGTGGGATGCAGCTTGGCAAAACTCAGGGACACCACATCAGGGCTTGCAGGACAAGGCTGTGGCATCCAGCTGAAGCAGCTAGAGGAGTTTGGACAGCAAAGGTAAAATTATCCAAAAGACGCTTAGACCACAATGGTGGAAGTATTACTGTTACCTTAAGGAGTACTCATTACTGGCTTGTTCATTTTTCTGTCACAAACCCAGCTGGTCTGGACCTTGGGTTTGTCTGCTACCAGCACAGCAACATTTCCAGAAGCACGGGGTGAGATTCATGCCACCCAACTCGAGCTATTCCTAACATAGGTGTCTCCACCTGAGAGCCCCTTTACAGTCAGTGCACAGAATCAATCACATCTCAGGAGGCATCCATCTCCTCCTGAGCTGTGTGTCTTCCTCAGACAACTATGCTGAAAGGAGAGGAGCAGCTTCCTGCAAATGCCTGATTGTTGCCTTAACTCCAAAAGGACACTAAAGGAGCAGCTCCCTTAGGGTGTGTGTTAAAGGTGTGTAAATTCAGGTAGGTGAATCTCATCCTGTAAGAAAACTGGTCCAGTAAGAAGGGTCTTTTTTTCCTTGAATGCCCTTCTCTCCCTGGATTCCCTTTCAATCTCTGCCCCCACTCAACAAACAGTTGCACTTGCTACATTGCACATTGCACTGCTATATTCACAGATTATTTAAAGATACTAAACATTGACCCGTGCCTAACACTTCACCAAACAGGAATAAATTAGCATTAAGAAAAAGCAAATTAACTTGCCTCTAAGAATCTGTTTTGTTCAATGCCCTGGAGTGCTATTAAATTCAGCTTGCTGCAATGCCAGGGCCGTTTCTGTTGGCACTTTCCCAACACGGTGCATGCAGCCACACAGCTCCCACTGCTTGCATTGTTTCAGGGTCCCAGGACTTACTTGGCAGGCTTGTTCTTCTTTGCAGGTGCAGGGAGACTGTTCAGATCCTCTTGTTCAGTCACGTTGTGATCGGAGCTGTCGTGAGAATTGTCCTTCATGATGCTGTAGTACACCGGGGCGGTGTACGGTGCAGGGTTCCCAGAGCTCTTGTCTTCACACTTGCATAATTTCTTAAAGGCAGCCCTGAACTTCTGTGACATGAGGTTGTAGATGATGGGGTTGATGGCACTGTTCAGGTAGATGCAGAGGCGGCAGAAGAGAAGGAACCAGATGTTCAGGTACGGAGGGTCCATGAAGGAGTTCACCACCACCAGTGTGCGATAAGGCAGCCACAGAAGGGCAAAGAGGACCACCACGACAGCCAGCATTTTGGTCACCTTGTCAGTGGGAATATAAAAAAAAAAAAAAAAAAAAAGAGATAATCAGATGATGTCAAATCTCCTGCAGAGCTTTCCCACCCAGAGAAATGGTGCAGGCAGCTGATTCAGGCTACAGGTTGCTTGTATCTCTTTTTAAGCATTAAGAAATAGGCATCCATACCATGAGGCTATTCCTCTTTGCTCATAAAAAATCTTGCATAAATAAGCCCCTTAAATTATAGGTTTTCATTTACCATTGAAGTGCCTTTAAAACTCTTTAGGATGAGAATCCACCAGCCTGGAAAGGGGTAGGGATAATAATAGAAATTTCTGTCCCAGAATTTGAGAATTGTATGTAACAATAAATCAATGGGGAAAATGACTTGTGAAAAAGTGGGGACCTACATTTTGGGGGTGCCATGGGGTATATCTCAACTGCCTGCCTAGGATCTCCTGGTTTCATACAACATTCCAGATAATGGGCTCCTGGTACAGAGCAGCACTGGGAGCAGAGGAGACTGTCTGGAGTCCTTGTGCTGATAAGAGTGTTAGCTAATTGGTGGGGGTTATTTTAATTTGCAGCACACTAGGGAAGTTCTACATTTAAATATTAAGAACCAGAAGTTACTGAGAATTCAGAAGTGAGCAATAATTGCCCTCAGCTCAACTCAAGCTTATTTAAGAAAGGAGGATTGAACTGAAACTCCAATGATCCTAATAATTTCAACAGCTACTTCTGGTAGGTGGCAATCACTCTCCAGCAAATACTTACAGAATACATGTGTCCCCAAGGAGGAAAATATGAGTAAACACTGATGCCTCACACTTATTAAGGCATTTCAAATGTCAGAAATGGAGTTGTTCAATGACTCCAGTTCTTGATATGGAAATAAGCCCTTAGATCATATTCATGGTCTCTCAGCTTTCCTTGGAGTTTTTGGGTTGTTTGTTTGTGGTTTTTTACTTATTCACAAGCAGCTATGCCTTCCTGTTATGCTTTGAGTAGAAATCAGGGGTGCTTGGTAGTGGCAACAAAACTTTCCCTA